ATTAAGCATAGGTAGAATTTTATGAACATGTTTGGCAGGCAGTACAATTTATAACAAAAAATACAGTTATTATTTGCTGGCCAACTTTATTTTTAGATTTAATTCTGCTCAAATCATCCACTTACAATTGCTGATTTTTTAATGCTTAATTAAATTATTTAAAAATTTACATTGCAAATTGTCTTTTAAACTTTTTCTTTATTCTTCCTTTTGGAGATTTTATTTGGCTGTTCTCATAGAAAAAAAAGATAGCACTAAACCTTCTTCCAGTCCCTTAAGTGTAACAGCAGGACTCATCCATGTGCAGGCTGGTTTGCTACTTTTGTCATAGATTGCAGTACAATATAAATGACGTAGGAGTCTGAGAAATAAGCCCCATCTCAACCACACAGATGTCATCACATAGCTCAGTGTCACTGGTGATAAATGCAACCATCTCAGGTCACTGACTACAGGAATGAGATAAAGTTAAAAATACTCTATTTGTAAAGTATTTACATTATTCAGGAAACAGTATATAAAATGATCCTTCATATTCATAATTACCACACCAAATATTCAGTGTGTGTCCTGGGCAAGTAAGTATTTACCAAGCTAATTTGCTATTTTGCAATTTTTATGTTCTTCCACTTATGCATGTCCTATGCTCTATAAAAATGGGGCTTTGGCTTGAACTCTTAAAGATATCTTTATTTATCTAAAATCTTATTTTTCTTTTAAATAATGAGAACAATGCTGGTTTCTTATATATCCTCAGTAATTTTGTAATGATGCTTGAATGTCCTCTGTTAAATATTTTCCTTGCATATCATCTTTACATTTCATCGGCTTCTGAAAGTATGTGAAGATGTTTTTTCAAGAAATATTATTAGATTATTATACAACTCTAAAAGTATTTTTAGCCTAACCTGTCATTGAGATATCCTTACTGATTTTTAAGTATTTAATTTGTATTATCTCTCTCCAGTTCTTCTAATTAATACTTCTGACTACTTAATTAAAATAATCACAGATTACCAAACACTGTTTGCCTTGTATTCTTTGAAATAACCGTAGATTTTTTGCTTTATCCCATTGTTAGTCTTTCTTTTTCTTTCATTCATAAGTACTAATAGGCTGTCAGTCTGCTAAAGACCTTACTACTAACAGGCATTTTAAGATACCTTAAGATTGTTAAACAATGGTCTCATGCAACAAATACTGCTTTTTGCCTCCTGTAGGAAACCTGTATTTAACTTCACTCACATGTACCTGGAATCTAAACAGCAGAGTAGTTGCGACATGCCAGCCCTTCTTACAGCATTCTTTAGTTTAAATTGGCAGTTCTGCAAGTAGCAGAAGGGTGGTTCTCAGAAGCCCCAACCACAAGTGCAGGCAGTGTGGGTGGCAGTGCCTGTGATCAGGAGGAAACTGAGTTTGTGTCTTCTATTATTTTAAGCTTAATGAATTTTTATCAGCTTTGTTTACAGTCAGTGATTCTAAGAGCCAGTTCTCTCAGATTTCTTTTTTATTAATATGTGGGGGATCATTCAGCATTGCAAATTGACATTTTTTTCTAGGTAATACTATTTCTCTTTATTTGTGCACTTATTTGGTGAGGTAAAGTGTGCTTACAACTAATCAAAACAAGCATTTGGTGGGGATTAATGCACGACTCATCAGCAGACTGGAATGTGAGCATGCGCTATGAAACTGCAGTTTGTCCTTGCTACGTTTTCTGTCATTTACACTCTAGTTCCATTTATATTGTGGTCCATTCTTTTTTCACTTCTTCATAGATTGGCCAAAATGGAAAGGGCTGGATTCTGCTCTCTTCCACGAAGAGTTAATGGGACTGGCTAAGATCAAAATCTGAGGCTTTTTCCATCCTTAATCAGGTATGCATTGAACAAAAATCACTAATTCTATGCATGTGCCTTTAAAGTATTTGATTCATAATCATGAATATAATTTAATTAGATATTAAGTTCATAACTTCATATTGATCCTAAAATTGTAAATTACCTATGAAAAGTAATTTGAATTTTGTAATGGATTAATATATAAAAGAATTATCAGCCATGAAAATTTTCAGCTGGTCTTAGAAAAGTGTAATATTTGGTATCAGTGCGATTCCTCATTGCTCAGTATGTACATCCAGAAACAATCCATTTGTTACTTAATATGAAGTTTCAACAAGTTAATATGATCAAACGCGTGTGTGTTGTTTCATGGTGTCCTTTTAATATTTTGGTGGGGAGTGGTTAAAGTTGCTTCTGTCTTTTGGAATTCTCAACATCACAACTGTATTGTTACAGTAGTGATTATGACTGGCTTTCAGACCTAGTTATCTAGACATTTTGCATTCCCTTCTGATTCTGCAGTTGGAAAATGATTGACTTGTGCATGGTCTAAATAGGTCTATGAAAGCATTAAGTGAGGAAATCACACTGGAAATTAAAGCTTTATACTAATTTACTGTCATTACTTGTCTGAAGAGTGGCCATTTATCTCTAATTTGAAGGGAGCAAAGCATCTCATTTTGAATGAGCTCATAACAGGAAAAGAACAAACCTATGAGCTTCAGAAAATCCACAGCCAGAGCTAACAGCTGCATCGGTGCTGTGATGTCAGAGCTAACAGCTGCATCCGTGCTGTGATGTCAGAGCTAACAGCTACATCGGTGCTGTGATGTCAGAGCTAACAGCGGCATCAGAACTAAAAGCTGCAGCAATGCTGTGATGTTAGAGCTAACAACTGTGTCAGCACTGTGATGTCAGAGCTAACAGCTGCATCCGTGCTGTGATGTCAGAGCTAACAGCTACATCGGTGCTGTGATGTCAGAGCTAACAGCTGCATCAGTGCTGTGATGTCAGAGCTAACAGCGGCATCAACTAAAAGCTGCAGCAATGCTGTGATGTTAGAGCTAACAACTGTGTCAGCACTGTGATGTCAGAGCTAACAGCTGCATCCGTGCTGTGATACTAGTTGCATCATATTAATACCGTTTGTAAATTGCAAGATGAACTTCCTGACACTTAGAACAGTGCAAAGGCCTGCGTCCATCTCACAGAGAAGAAACTGTATGTCTTCAGCTTACCTGAATGCTGTACTGCCTTAATCAAAATAGTGGCTTTCTGTTGTTTGGTTTGCTTAGGGACATCTTCTATGCGAAAGTACAAAAAGATATAACACTTAAGTGTTAACAAAATGTAGGTATTTAGAATTTCTGAAAAGAATTTAAGAATTATTTATTTATGTAATTAATGCATATGAGTGCTCTATTTGCATGTGCTTGCATGAGAGAAGAGAACATCAAAGTCCATTACAGATGGTTGTGAGCCACCATGTGGTTGCTGGGAATTAAACTCAGGACCTCTGGAAGAACAGCCAATGCCCTTAACCATGGAGTCATCTCTCCAGTCCCTCCTGAAAACTTTTAACTGTAATCTGTGAAAGTGAGTGTAACAGACCTAATTGTGTAAAAGCATGTGTCAATCTAACACCAAAACACAGGTTAGATAAGGAAGTTGATGGGTTTTTTTAAACATTTACAATAGGATGGCAGATCTGACCTCCCTGCCCTCTAGTATCTGGGCTTCAGCTTCTTCCATGGACAAATTAATTGATAAGTCAGTTAACAATATTTAATAATCAGATGCTTTTAAAAGAGGCTTTGGATGCTGTCACTTCTGTGGTCTATTGGAAGAACCCCTCTAAATTACCTTAAGAAACGTTGAGGAAACATTTAACTCAGTGGTTCTCAACCTTTGAGTTGCAACCCCCACCAGGATCACATATCAGATATTTACACTACAATTTATAATGGTAGCAAAATTACAGTTATGAATTTACAGCAATGAAATAATTTTATGGTTGGGTCACCACAAGATGAGGAACCGGTAGTAAAGGGTCACAGCTTTAGGAAGGTTGGGAACCACTGAATTAATTTATATAGCAGTAGAATCTTTGAGGAGTTGATTTTCTTACTCTGAAAAAGAGAGTTAAGTATATTTACTATTCCTTATCTATAGAGGTTTCTATTTAGTCTTAATTATTTTGTTTTAACAACATACCCTTCATTACACAGTCTGTACCTTTCATTTTTTTCTCACAGCATTGATAATGAGTTAGAACTCTGACACATCTTTGACCAGCCTCAAACACCTCTGTGAGGATACACTCTTGCACAGGTGTTGTGTACTCTGAGAACGAAATCTCAGCAGGTGTGCCACACTTGGGTTAAGATGTGCCAGAGGCTGATCTCTGCAGCTCCTGAGGAGGCCCAGTGCCTCTGGCCTATTAACCTTAGTGCACCTAAGTTTAAGAATTTTAATTATTAGCTTTAATAATTAATTTGAATAATTTTCTCTGTGATTAAAAACAGTTGAGGGAAACTAACCGTGCTTCCCTAAATGACAAGGATCTGCATTTTTTTTACCTCATGCTATCCAAATGCTTTACCATTTCAAGAGTATCTGTTAAAAAGATAAGTTGTTCCCGATCCTGACCGGAGAGAGATCCCTTAGGGTTGTAGTGGGTGTAAGGGGTGAGGTCTCACGCTGGTGAGCCGTCTCTGCAGTGTAGTATCTGGGCTTTGGCTTCCTCCATAGCCTCAGGGTTTTCCCAGTGCTCTACATTTGTTCACATGATCCGTGTTCACAGGCAGAAGTGGGCGTTAGGCTTTAAAGCGTGTTTTCTAATCCCTTCTGAAGTCTCTCGTGCCATCGTTAGAGTCATGCTTTGAGAGTTCCTGAATTCACTACCGTTATGCCTAAGTACAGCAATTGTCAGGTGGACTTTTGGGGTATGTATGAACTGTTCATTCTGAGCAATGCGTATATATCTGTTTTGGAAAATACAAAGAAACCTACAGATATTACATTGGACCAGCTGAATCCATTTTATGGTTTCTCTTTTAATTTAAAAGCATCACAAAGCAAATAGTTTTTTTTAAAAAAAAAAAATGAGTTTAGTTACAAACTAGTTGTTTCTTATTTTTTTTTTCCAGTCCCTTTTTGCTTTCTTTTACGACCACATGAAACTTGAGAAGCCACCTAAAGCTATATCACTTAGTGGAGTTGGGCAGTTCCCAGGTGTCCAACAAGAAGGCCTGGTTTAGGCTGCGATGGCCACTGTCATTCCTGGTGATTTGTCAGAAGTAAGAGATACCCAGAAAGCCCCTTCAGGGAAACGTAAGCGTGGTGAAACCAAACCAAGAAAAAACTTCCCTTGCCAACTGTGTGACAAGGCCTTTAACAGTGTTGAGAAATTAAAGGTTCACTCCTACTCTCACACAGGAGAGAGGCCCTACAAGTGCACACAACAAGACTGCACCAAGGCCTTTGTTTCTAAGTACAAATTACAAAGGTACTATACTCTATTTGTCTTTCAGATTATACTTTCTCTTGTGTTGGCCATCTGAAGCCATTGTAAGCGTGTGTATCTGTATACACATTTCTCAGCTGAATTGCAGAGAGGAAATATTAAGTAGATTAGACATTGGCTAGTTTCAAATACTCGAAATCACATTCTTTTGTGTCAGTGTCTTTGGCTTTTTTTTTTTTTTAAGTAAAATGCTTAATGAGAATAGAATTTCCATTTGTAGAAAGAAATTTCTACATGAAAAGAATGTGGACATTACATAAGTATGTTCAGTCTTGCTTGTTTAGTTCTGTAATGAGAGCTGAGAACCAGTCAACACCCGAGTGGCAATTTAGATGGCTCAAGTTTTGCAGTGTGTTAACTGTGGTGTGTGAGTTAGGTAGATCCTTTATTAAGAGAGCTGTGTGTTAGTGTTAGCAGTTTAGCTGCCCATTTGGAAAATGAATACGCACCTTTTTCCTAAGATAATCACTCACAGAATATATCTATGTTTAAAGGCACATGGCTACTCACTCTCCTGAGAAAACCCACAAGTGTAATTATTGTGAGAAAATGTTTCACCGGAAAGACCATCTGAAGAATCACCTCCATACCCATGACCCCAACAAAGAGACCTTTAAATGCGAAGAGTGTGGCAAGAGCTACAACACCAAGCTTGGGTTTAAGCGACATTTGGCCTTGCACGCTGCAACCAGTGGCGACCTCACCTGCAAGGTGTGTTTGCAGACTTTCGAAAGCACAGGTGTGCTCCTGGAGCACCTGAAATCTCATGCAGGCAAGTCGTCCGGGGGTGTGAAAGAGAAAAGGCACCCGTGCGAGCACTGTGAGCGCAGGTTCTATACCCGGAAGGATGTCCGGAGACACATGGTGGTGCACACGGGAAGAAAGGACTTCCTCTGTCAGTACTGTGCACAGAGATTTGGACGAAAGGATCACCTCACTCGACATATGAAGAAGAGTCACAATCAAGAGCTTCTGAAGGTCAAAACTGAACCAGTAGATTTCCTGGACCCATTTACCTGCAACATGTCTGTGCCTATAAAAGATGAACTCCTGCCGGTCATGTCGTTACCTTCCAGTGAACTCTTGTCAAAGCCATTCACAAACACTCTGCAGTTAAACCTCTACAACACTCCATTTCAGTCCATGCAGAGCTCTGGGTCTGCTCACCAAATGATAACAACGTTACCTTTGGGGATGACGTGCCCCATAGATATGGATGCAGTTCACCCCTCTCACCATCTTGCTTTCAAATGCCCGTTCAGTTCTACCTCATATGCAATCTCTATTCCTGAAAAAGAACAGCCATTAAAGGGGGAAATTGAGAGTTACCTGATGGAATTACAAGGTGGCGCACCTTCTTCATCCCAGGATTCTCAAGCATCGTCCTCTAAGTTAGGGTTAGATCCTCAGAGTGGGTCTCCAGATGATGGTGCAGGCGACCTTTCCCTGTCCAAGAGCTCCATTTCTATCAGTGACCCCCTCAACACACCAGCATTGGATTTTTCTCAGTTGTTCAATTTCATACCATTAAATGGTCCTCCTTATAATCCTCTGTCAGTGGGAAGCCTTGGGATGAGCTATTCCCAAGATGAGGCTCACCCTTCTGTTTCTCAGCTGCCCACACAAACCCAGGATCTTCAGGATCCTGCGAGTGCTGTGGGTCTTGGTTCTCTGCACTCGCTGTCAGCAGCTTTCACCAGCAGCCTGAGCACAAGCACCACCCTGCCCCGTTTCCACCAGGCATTTCAGTAGGGTCTGGGTCGAGGCTTTCATCTGGAGGTGCTTGCATAGCCCCACCCGCAATGACCGTTTCTATTTTAGTGCCTACTTCTAAGACAGCACAAAAACTTTTGCTTTTGTATAATATCAGGTTTTATGAAGCCAGTAAGTAATAGGAACTAGCCTCTTTGATAAGCTTTGAAACCATGTTTAATTACGTTGGCTGTCTCCCTGATTTACTGCCAGTTGTCATAGTTTCGGAGTTTTATTTCATTATAAGAGCGCCATTATCACTAAATTTTACAAGTCCTGTGTTCAAATTACTGTTAGACCTTTACATTTTCATTTTGTCTAATAGCAATGGGCATTGGACATCTGGTTGATTTTTTTTTTTTATTTTGCAAATATGCAGTACAATGTAAATCTTAAGAAATGTGTGTGAATAACTGAAGTGTTTTACATTTTTACTAGCCACTAAATGGATTCATGATCAAGTGTGTTTTAAATGAGTTAAGAATCCAGTTTGGGGAGATGATAGTGTTTTCTTAACTATACCATCATTTCAGATCAATATATTTTTAAGACTGCTATTGTCTGGCTAAAATATAAGCATATGACAAAAAAAAAAAAAAAAGAAGAAAAACAACTTTCAATATCTGTATCTAAAAGAAACCTGGAGAGGTCACAGAGTGTTCCGTGTTAGCACTGTCCCTTAAACTGTTCGGCCGCATTTCACCCATCTTTACGTTAACAATGCCTGGCATCAGAGGCTTCAGGATCAGTGTAGAAATGTTCTGTTTTATGTCCTTCGCCTTTCAGAGCCAGGATGGCTTCAATATAGCAGCGTTCTTACTTTGCATGTTGCTTAGTCCAGAGTCTTAGGGCCAGTGAAGGACAATAGGCAGTCAGGATGTGAAACCCAGAGTGGGCTGCCTCAGTCTTCGAGGTGACAGACTCCTCAACAGGAAGATGGATGTAAAACATACAGCCCAACCTCAGCACTTGTCTAGAGAATTTCCTCTGCTGCCAGGAATGAAAACTGGACTCTTTCGGGGCAAAGTAAAAGCCTGTCACATCACTCCCAGAACTGCAGTCTTGCCCCTGTGCTGGCTTGCTCATGCCTATCCATCTTCCCTTGCTGTGTTTGGATGGAGAACTTAAAATCAAACACGTTAAAAAGCTGCTTGAGGAGTTTCCACAGTTTTGCACACCAAAACCAATAAAAGCCCACTTTTACGCATCTCTGGGAAATGGGAGGAATCTTACAAATAAGTTGAATTTGTAGAGGAAACAAAGGAAAATAAAGCAAACACCAAATGAATATGAAAACACCAAGGACGCAGTGCTCACTGAGCAAGGTAGCGATGGTTTCCTCTTGTTAGACAGCCACTAGTAATCTCATCAAAGGTTCCATGTATATTTTCCTAAGCATTCTTTGTGGCAGCAGCCTTTGAGACTTATCTATTAAGCACTTGTTAACACCTTATTTTGGGACCCTTCTTTTGGGGCAGGGGTAAAGGGAGATTTATAAAAGAGTATGTATCTCTTTAAAAAAAAAAAAAAAGATGAAAAAAATCTTTTTGAATTTCTGAGCACTCATTTGCCCTGTATGGGGAAGCTCATTCCCTTTTGTAGGGCCAGCTATCACTGCGTATTGCATTTGTTTACCAGTAATTCTAAACATAATTACAGATTGCTGAATATAATACCTTATTTAAAATACCTGGGAGTAGTATAAATTGAGGAGAAGTGTAATTGTCACGTGGCTGGGGCTTTCACTATATGATACACGCCTGGCGCACTTCATAGAATCAGAGCTGCTCTCGAGAGGGCTCTGGCTCTTAGTTTTAACCCCGGAGCAGTAGTTTTTATACTTATGTATTTAAATTTTATTATGAAAAATTACATTTTATTAAAAAAAAGTGTTCCAAAGGCATTAAAATTATATATGTTAGTACGGAAATACTTGTTTAACTCTTCAAGCGGCTCCTGAGCTGTGGCTAGGGCCACACTCACTCTGAAAGTGGGCTCTTTGCCTCACGGCTGCTTCCTTAGTTTCTATGAAACAGATCACTTCCCTAAAGCTCTAGTTAAATGATTAATGTTCAATATTGCTTTAATCACCATTTAAAAAGAAGAAGACATTTGGTGACAGAGCACAAGTAAATAGAGAACCTATTTTTATGTAGAGGTCACAAATACCACATATGAAAGCACTAGTTTTATCTGAAATTTGCTTAAGAAGAAGTCACATTAATGACCTGAGACGTTGGCCTTCATAGGCTGTATTTCACTGCTAATTGAAAAAAGGGAGTACCAGAATATATGAAATAAAGCATTTTGAAACGGGAATGGCGCCATATATATGTGTGTGTGTATATATATATATATATATAAAAATATATTTTTATCCTAATTCTTGCCCTGCACAGAACTCTAATACACATCTTCCAGGGTACCAGTGTTAAAATGTAGAGGCTTAATTTTCTTTGCATGTACACCTCTTTGCCTGTTGCTGCCCCCACAGACTTGAATAACACTTCAAAGTAAGAGGGAATTCAGCAAATTTATTTTTGGTTTTGGTTTTTGGGGGTTTTTTGTTTTGTTTTTTGTTGATTTTTTTTTTTTTTTTGACTACAGTGGTCACTAAACCCTTTTTTGATAGATTTTTCTATTAAAGATCAGGCAGCTTTTTTTAATTGCACAATATTTTAACCAGGATGTAACACAGAATTGGCCCCTCCCCCAACCAGAAAAAATTGTCACTTGCTTTTATTTGAAGTAGGAATGACTAGAGGTAGGTCTTGCCAATGCTGTTTTCATTCTCCAGTGGCCAGACTTGTGGTCCTCAGAGTTTCTGATAGTGCCTTAGCTTGGCTGAAAGGAAAGGGGTTAACATTAAAATAGTTTAGTGTAGCGTTTGGACCACAGACAAGATACTGAGCCTCATTCAGCTTGACTTCCACATGTGTGTGCACACCATGTCAGCAGCCGCATGAGTGTGGAAGGGCTGAGGCACTGTAAGCAATATAATCCATTGATATTTACCACCTTTGTAGTTATTGGTCACTGTTAAGCTTTCATATAAAATCCTATTACCTAGTTCAGTTTTCTAAAACTTAAGTTGTCTTGGAGGATCATGCAGCATTCTGTATGCAACTTTTTAAAATTTCAGAGTTTCTTTCAAGTTGTGTGGTTTTTGCCTATTTGTTGCTTGTGCTTTATTTTTCTAGTCATTTCTGGAATATAGTGATATATTGTGTTAATTTGGACAGTGACGGTTTTTTAAAACCATATACTGACTGAAACATGAGCCAGAGCGGATTGCTTTATTAAGCTAATAATGAATGTTATAGAGTACATATTTCAGGATCGTTCATCTAGTGAGCAGTACACATATAGACCAACGTAAAAAATAGAGCTTGGTCAACCTCTATACTTCACATACTACAAGAGATAGCACTTTCAAAATGAACCTAAACTTTTACAGAAACTTTCTTATAGGTTATGCCTTTTATTTTAAGACTTATTATATTCATTTCAAGTGCCATTAGATGATATATATGTAGGCCTTTGATATATAATGCTTTGTGTACAAAAATTGGTAGATGGTATTTTAAACAGGTACATTTTTACAGTGTTTTCTTATCGACTTGCTATATTGCACAGAATCAGAGTGTGTCTTTTCATAAGGTTTTACAATGGTTTTATTTTTTTACAAGGTTTACGTATCTCAAAGCACACTGTCTTCCCAGTCCATAAGTAAGTTAAAAGATAACAGTTCACCCAAGTTGCTTCTAGCCTACTGAGATCCATGTGACATTGGAGGAGATCTTTTCAATGTTGAGTATTTGTCCTTAGTGAAGGCAAACTGGTTTTTCTGACAAACGAGTCATTGGTGATTTTGTCTTGCTTTATTCATGCTGTCAGCAGCCAGGTCTACAAAACACTATATCTAGATTATGTAGGCCTACATAAATATGTAAGCTGTGTTATACCCACAGAGAACCCCTTTAAAATTATGCAGGATAATGATACCAGCCTTAGTGGCAGACACAGATCACCAGTAAGCCTTTCTACAATGTTAGCAGCCCCTGGGAATGGAAGGCAGTGTCTTTTAATAAGTTACCTAGCTCTAAAGATGACTCAAGAGTTATTACTGATGTATAAGACACTTCATTGTATAAGCTTCAGTGGTACAGACAAACCAGAATGAATGTCTGACGTCTCAGAAACCCTCCTTCAACCATACATGGGATCATGCTGCTACTGTCAGTTGGGATACAACTCTCCATGGTGCTACAAACTTCTGTCTCATTCAGTTGTATTTTTTTATCCATAGGAAAAGGACTACAGAGGTGTAAAGGTGTACAATATATTTTTATACTGTGACTTACTGTGTCATTAACAAACTCTTACACCACCACAGTGTATTCATGTACTCTTGCTAAAGGAGATCTTGGATGTGCAAATGTTACCAGAACAAACCAGCTTTTGTCCACAAGGTGACTGTAACACAGAATGGAAAATGGGCTTGACATGGGGTGTGGAGTGAAGAACATGCTATAAGTTACTAACAGCCCTTTGCGTTTAACAAAAACTGGGAATCCATTAGAGAAATGGATTGCATCAAGCCTGAACATAAGCTGACTGCTGAAGTTTTTTTTCTTTGTTTTTTTTTTTTGTTTGTTTGTTTTTTTTTTAGCTAATGAAAAAGTGTTTGGACTAGTACTCTAAAAATGTTCTAACGGTAAAGTTTTGAGTCAAATAGAAATGAAAAAAAAAATCTGCATTCCAGACTGAATTTTGTATATTTTTATTGCATTTTTAATTGCTATTCTGTGATATTGGGAAATCAAGTGGCTTATCATGTATATCATGTACTTAAAATGTATTCACAAACTACTGTTGTATTTGTATAAAATATAGACAAAGATCATCTGTGTGTATGTGTGAGCTCTGTAAAGCAGCTTCATGTCATGAAAGTGCGGTGATACCATACTTCACACACCCCCATCCAAAGAAGCAGATTGCTTATTGTCCAGGCCCCCAGTCTTAAATACTCACGTGCTGCCACTTATCACTGCAGCCTCTCCTGACCTGTAGTGGTATTTTTTGTAAGGAAAA